TATTTATAAATATATATATATATATACATATATATATATATATATATATAGTTCAGTTATTTAAAGGGACATTTCCCAACTAGAATTTAGTTAAGGGGAAAGGAAAACATCATAGTTCAGTTATTTAAAGGGACATTTCAACTAGAATTTAGTTACGTTCACAGTTCATTCATTATGTTTAATTTGATGATTTCAATATTGAACAGAATAAGCTGGAGTATTTATGTTTTCATAACCAAGCAGCCCAAAGTAGAGGTACAGTAACATCAGGGCAGGATCAGGTCAAAAACATGAGAGATTTACAACACTGCTGGTTGGAGGTGAAGGTTCAGACAGGGGAGGAGTTAACGAGACACAGGTGGAGATGGTGATGTCATCAGTGTGGAGGGAACCACACGGCAGCAGGGACGCAGGAGAGAGGGAGCAGAGAGGAGCAGAGGGAGCAGAGGGAGAGGAGATTCACAGAAGGTGAGAGACAGGAAGAAGTGAAACAGTATAGACTGTAACGTTTGACGAGAACTCCAAACATGTTGGTCCTCTGATGTGAAACTCACTCCAAAAACTTTGAAGTATTGTTATCAACTGTAGCCCTTCCTGACTAAGTAATACTTTGAGTAAATATATATTTAGTGTCAATGTTAGTAGATGACTTTAGTCATTGGAGCAGTCGCTCCACGGCCAAAGAATTGTATTGACCCTTGGTGTAGGCTTTTAGCCTGATCATCTGGTCAATGTTTGTCTATTTCCCTCTATAAAGGGTTTGTATTTGACAAAATATTAAGGATTAATTTACTAGTCATTGAAATCATTAACTATTGTGTCACAACACGCGGTTCTGGGTTCAATTCCACCTTGTACTCTAACACTGTGTTGTGCTGCATCAGGAAGGTGGTCCATTAGTATCTCTGTGCTGATCCCTGCCAAAGGTTCAGTCTGAGGGAGACTCTCCAGATCTGTTCCACTTCCTTGGTTTGGTGTTGGGTTTAAAACCAGCCTGGCAGCTACGTGGCTTTTTCTGGACGTTCACATGGCCTGTAATAATAATAAACTCATGTCCTTTCCTTTTGTTCCGTCTGCGGTGGTCGCAGCACCTGCTGGTTCTCCTCACAT